ACTCCGATGATATTCCTCTTGCTAGGCTACTAACGGTCACAGGTTGGTAATTTGTGAGTTTTTACAAAGATTAATATCCTAACGGTTATAAATTGTGTTATACCAATGTCATAGGTTTTTCATTATGGCAAAGATTAAAGAAAAATGACTCTTAGCCTAATAAAAAAATAATTGTCCTTTACACCCCAAAAAACCCACTTCATCTAGCTATGTCTGTTTTGTGTGTCTGTGTCCATCAATGGTGTAAAGAAATTAAAAAGGAAAAGCTTTGTGTCCATAAAACCATAAAAAATAGTACATATTAACAATAATACATAATAATAATAATAATTAATAAATACTGAATCCAAAATGTGGCTGAAATTACTATGTTTCTCTAGAAAAAAACAACTCGATACTGTTTTAAGATCCCTGAGAAGATTGTGTGCAAGGAAATGTTAGAGTCACTCATATGTAAATTTTAAGATTTGTGTTTTGTAAGTGTTTAAAAAAAAAAAAAAATTGTTTCTGTAAATAGTGAAGTAGTGAAAGAAACTGCGTTATCAAAGTTGTTAAGTTTTGTTTCAAGAATAAGTGTAAAAACCGTAGTTGTTACTGTGTTGCGCAAAGAAATTAAGTTAAATTGGCGATGTGAGGACACATCCTTCTTAAAGGAGGGGGTTGTGTAGCGGCGCACGGCCGCATGGTGGCGTATTCACCAAGCTGGAAATTGGGGGCGAAGCCACTTTTAGCGCGCGCGCTGTCTCGGTACCTGGGGATCCAGGCACGACAGTGCACGCGCGCGTATCTCAGTCGTACGATGGGCCAAAATAAGCAGAAATTGGGTTGGCGCTTTATTTTTTAGGCAGTTCTGATCTGGGGCTGGTTGAAGAAAGACAGAAACAACGCTGCTTAGAGAAAAGATAATATAATGTGAGTACTTAATTTGGCGGAAGATTGAGGAGAATCAGAGTAGACAGAAAGAGAGAAGTTCATCCTTGTGTCCGTGTCCCATTTATTTTATTCGTTGTATCGTGCTGTTTGTGTTGTTTCTACCTTACGTTAATTTTAGCATAATCGTCCACAGAAAATAGCCCTTAGACCGCGAGGACTCGTAACATTGGTGGCAGCGTATGGGATATTTGTGGCTAAAATTACAGTAGTTTGGTTGTTTAAAAATCACAGCGTTAGGTTCAGCAGTTACCTGCGAAAGAGTTACTCTCCGACAGCCTTCGGAGGTGTTTAAGGCGAGCCATCAGATAACAGACCGTTCGGGTACCGGGTCCGTTATGCTAATTTCTTTCACCCCAATCGGTACGAAGCCAGAAGCCACCCGGTCACTGAAGCGTGACGCCCCAATCGGTCCAAACTGGTGACTCAGGGTTTCACAATAGGCAACATAAATTGAAGTCTGGCCATTGTTGGAGGATTATTCGGCCCTCTGGGATTACCAGCGGCAACTTCTATGAAGCTCATCACAGTCATTGTTGCCTACTGGAGGATTAGCGCGTCGCAAGTTGGTTCCTTTGTGATGAGCCAGAGCCATGGTGCAGAAGCCTGGTGGAGTTTATGGAGGTTCAAAAGTGCCCATCTGCTTTTCTGCTTTCAAAACAGCAGAAAAGCAGATCGAACGTTTTTCTAAAATGCATATTTCTGCTTTTCTGCTTTTCTGCTAGCAGAAAAGCAGATCGAACGTTTTGCCAAAATGCATTTGTCTACTTTTCTACTTTCCTGCTACCAGAAAAGCAGATTTTACTTTTTACCCTACAGTTGCGGTTCAAAAGTGGCCATCTGCTTTTCTGCTTTTAAAAAAGCAGAAAAGCAGATTGAACGTTTTGAACAAATCGTATTTTCTACTTTACTCCTTCCCAAGAAAGCAAATCGAACATTTTTGTCACACTGGTCTAAAAACGGGCTATCGTCTTTCCTGCTAGCAGAAAAGCAGATTGAACGTTTTGGACGATTGCAATTTTCTGCTTTTCTGCTTTTCTGCTTTCTAAGAAAGCAGATCGAACGTTTTTGCCACGGTGGTCTAAAAGTGGCCAATCGTCTTTTCTGCCAGCAGAAAAGCAGATTGAACATGAGTTTGGACAAATCCACTTTTCTCCTTTTCTGCTGTCCAACAGAGCTCATTAAACGTTAGCTGCTGCTATCAGTACCTACCAAAAAATGGACGGTTCCAAGTAACTCCGCCTTTTTCAATTACGTCAACATTGTGCTAACTCATCAATCCGCTGACAGTTCTATTAAAAAAAGCATGAACACGTGCGCGCGTATACTTGCCCTATATATCCGGCCTAACAGTTTAATTTGAGTGCGGGACTTGTCTGTAATTTCTAGAGGGGTTGCTTGGCTCTAGTGAGGAGATGGGCGGGGGGGGGGGTGTTTGCGGGGATCCGGGTTTGCAATGCTCTATGTTTTCGTTTATTTCAATTTTAGGATTTTTCTGTTTTATTGCATCGTATCGGTTCGCTCATTTTTATCCCTGCTTCTGAACTTGGCTGAAAACAAAATATAATGGGCGATCGTCCAAAGTTATGATTGAACGTCACAACACAAATAAAACTCGCTGCATTATTTATTAATTTATTTTTAAATAACGAAAATTAATTAGTTACTTCAAACTTCACGGATTAATTTTTTTCCTACAAGGAAAAACTTAATGATCTACAGTGTAGCTTCTTTCATCCCCGACGGGGCGAGGATTTGGCGGAGATCTTTGTTTAAATTTTCTTTAATTTTCTTTTTATTTTGAATATTTCCTTTGGTACTCAGTATTGTCTCGAAATTCATTAAATTTATTGCTGAGGTACGAAATTACTTTAAAGTAAGTTACAAAATATAAATGGGAGCGTCTGGAATAAGCCTTTGGACCAGTAAACCAGTTTTCAAGTTCCAAAATCCGGACCAGGACAAATATACAGACATCTTTCGTTAATCATGAAACTATTCTTATCTTGAAAATGCAATACAGAGTAAATTTGGACGTGTGGTGGGCGTGGAAGTCGTGGTCTCTCCTACTTTGTGAAAATGGACGAGTCCGACACCCGGCGCATCAAAGCGATATGGTTGCAGTGCGCGCAACAGATGACAACGATGTGTATAGCCCGACCTTATACACCGACTCTATAACAAAGATCGGCTTCGTCTCTATCTTCGGATCGGCTCAGTTCTTTGTTGTTCGGACCAAATTAAAATAATCCCATTCATGTAGTCCAAATATACCTATCTTGAGCAAGCTGGAATCGGGGGGGGGGGTCGAGGCTGCGCTTGCGAAGCGCTGTGGTACCGTCCATTCTCAAAATAGGGGGGAACAATTCTCTCACGCGAAAAAAAAGAGTTTTTGGAATCCAATCTTAACATTTTGTCTTTTATAGTTGAAAAAAGGTTGTAACTTACATTAATTCTTACCATCCAATGGCAAAAATTGTAATGAAAATGAGATACATTTCAACGTTGGTGGCGCACTTGTTTTGCCCCCCCCCCGCGCTGGAATTAAGTAATTCAGGGATACCATGACGTTGGATTCTGCAGCTGGGGACAAAACCAAGGTAGATCCTCCTTGATTTGATCGGGAAAAAAATTTCTAGGGGCAATTTCTGCAATGGAGAGACTCGATCAACACGTCATACATTACATTAGAGAGGCAGTCCATAGTGGAATATCTTATAAGGACATCGCCCTATCACTTCAACGTCGTTTTCCCAATTTGCGGGGACTGTCCCTGAAAAGTTTCCGGCGCTACTGCAAAAAATTCGGCATATCTCAGATCAGCGACCGTGAGCTTGATGAAACTGTTCGACGCTCCATTTTAGAGGTAAGATTTTAAATGCAGTGTTATACGGACGGTAGGTCCAAAGAAGTTGCGGTGACCTTCGATCTTGATCATCACCCCTGCCACTTTTGGGCGCTGTTTATGATATTTGAAGTAACCTTTAACTAAAACCAAAATTTGCTCAGTCCAAATTCATTTTCTTTTCCCCAACATAATTTGCACTAACACTGATCAAAATGTGGTCCAAATCAGTGAAATGCGAGCAACACCCTAGTTTTGTAATAATCTGTAGTTAGATTCAGTACATTCAGTTCTGATATTAAACTTGGAGTTGAAATCAGTTTTTAAAAACGAGTTTGAATATTTAACAGTCAAAATAGGTTACAAGATTGTGTTTCAAAGAATCTTCTCGTATTTGAAATCGTAATTTCTGAGGGTTTTCCATTGGACTGGCTATGATAACTCGTTACTATTACTCGTATTTATGCAGGTTGGTCCACTTTATGGCCGTAGGATGATGGCTGGGTACTTAAGGGCCAATGGAGTAACTGTTAGTCTGAGTAGAGTCGCTAAATCGCTTGAGAGACTGGATCCCCACAGTTATAACATCAGGCGTACTGATGCCGGAGACAGAACGAACCCGAGGCTATACACAGCCAGCCATTATGGCCACAAGATTCATTTAGATCAGAACGAAAAGCTGGCGATGTATGGCGTAACACACGTCTGTGCCAGAGATGGTTACAGTGGCAGGATTGTCGACCTTATTACCATCCCACGAAAATGCAACATCAAAATCGTGGATACACTGTTCAGGTAAGTATTTATGAAAACTCCCAGGCTTTTTTCAAAAACTATATATAGGCCTACACGACAGGGGCATAGATGATTGCTCTTTGCAAACGTCATGCCTAAACTAAACAGTGACGTTTCTGCCAGGCGTCATGCGCTGTATTTTTGTACACTTAAACCGTAATGGTTTTAGACTAAGTCGGTTGACTTTTTGGCTTTTATCGGTTAACGTTTTGAAAATTAGTCAGGACTGAATCCCCTAACCCCCACCCCCCCCCCTCCGCCCCCAGCAAACACACCTTCTGGGTGGTGTGGTCAACAAATCCATATTCAGCCTAACCCAAACCAAACCAAACCTGCCCCACCCTACCCAACTCACAAATCTTTTCGCATTTTTCTGTAGGTGATGGAATTTTGTTAACTGTATTGTTTGTTTATATTTTGTATTCAGGCCAATATTGATGCGGGAAGGTGTATGGACACAACTCCGCGTAGACCAGGGAACTGAATTTGTGTTGACAACCTTTATCCAAGACTGCCTTGCTGAATATAGACCAGAACAAAACTGTGCTCCCTGGGTTGCAACATCATCTGTTCATGTGAGGGAACAGCCTATCTATTATCGTGCCAATTTTATCTTTTATCTTGGGGGGGGGGGACATTTTTTATGCCTGTAAAATATTTCCAAAAGCTTATATCCCAAATTTGTTTCAGCCTGCACGTTTTTTCCAAAAGGTAAGCCTATTATTTATCTTGCAAGAAATTATTTATTTGCAAAAAGGTTAACCCCGAATCATTTGAGTTTATTTACTCTCAAAAGATTAGCCCCGTTTTTACACTGCACAGGTGAACTGAATTTGATTTCAATACTGCTCCGTTCAATAAATGCAAAGATATAACTCTGATTTGGAATACAATTAACAGTTGTTGACTGCTCACTGTTTAAAGCGCTGTCTCAGAAACGTGCTATTTGAGAATTTTTTGGAATTCTGGATGGTCTATAATAATTATCTTGGTGCCTTTTGATGCAATCTAGCAGTTAACGACGTACAAACAAAATAACCTTTAAAAGGGGACATTATACCATATATAGGCGTTTCCACAATCCAAAATATTAAGGGGGGACACTTTCCCACGGGATCGCCGCCCATGACTGACACTATATACCTCTTTCACTACTTCTCTTGGCTTTAAACTGTCCAGGCAACAAACTTATTCGCTTTAATTTTATTCACACGGCTGAAATTGATAAATTTGTATACTTTTGTTTATGTTTCGGGCGTGACTATTTGAATGCACAAGAATGATACATGCATGCGCGAGGGGACGTGCATGTTCCGTACTCAAACCTAGTCAATATCATTTGTTTACCTGTTTTTGTGGTTTTTAATTTTCATTTTGTACCAAAGAATTTACGAATTGAAAGGATTTGGCCGGAGGTAAATCAACGTGTGAACTACCCATTGAAGCGTGTTGTAGTGGCCATGCACGAACAAGGCCTGATCCACATGCAAGATGACGTGGAAAAGTTCTGTGTCTCCATGGTCCTCATCAAAGTGGCAAGGATCGGGGTTCAACGATTCATGTCAAGTTGGAACAACCACCACATGAGAGGTACACCCACGAGTTCTTTCATTCTGTTTCTGTCTTACACATTTAGAGAAGTCAACTAATATAAACAAAAATACTTTGTACACTATTTATTGTGTGATGAACTAATTTTGAAAAAAGAGTATGATTAAAAAGAGTATGATTGGCTTATAGATATATTTTCTGGAAAAACTAGTCACGCTATGACATTGTTTGAGAGTGCTGAATTAAAAACAAAAAGAAATGGTGATAGTAGCAGTGGTAGCTGGCAAATCTTGCTTTTGATATCTTTTATATACAACAGGAATGATAATGCATGGGAAATCTATTTAACTAGGATTATGAGACAACAATTTCATTAGTATCTTTCATGTTCAAATTATGGAGGCCTCAAATTAGGTAACATATATTGGCCTCTCCAAAATGTTAATATTTCGTGAAATTAAATTATGTCAATGCTTAATTTTCCTTTTCTTTTTATAGCATCTATTGGAAGACCAGGCGCAACAGGAACACCTGAGCAATGTTTTCAGCAAAATAACCGAGTTGCATCTCTAATGCATGTACATGTGCCGACTACAGAAGAACTCGTTCATCTGTATCAGCAAAGGGGCGGACGCATCGAGAGCTCAGGTAGATTTGGTTGGGACCCAATCGGTGATGACATGCAGCTTGTTCATGAGCGCCAACGTAGACTTGAACTCAACTTTCCATCCTATGAAGAGTGCTTTAACTCGGCGGTGCGTGGTGACAATCAACCGCTTCAACAAACCATTATCGGTTGTATCAGAATAACCTTCAACATTGTGAATACATTGTAGCGGACAGTTAAGTTAGACACATCTGCAACGATTGCATCCCCGCATTTTGTGGTAGCTCCAGTAATTTCACGAGGCCTAAGGTTAGCCTCTCACATCTGTATAATTTTTCTGCAAAAAAAATAATTGTCGGAAAAATTGTAAAACCCCGTGCAAATCATCGATTGAATAATAAAGTGTACCTAATGCCACAGCACTTTGTTCGAAAACGCATTGCTACATCAGTTTAAACTATTAAAGGCGGCTCTTTTTATCATTTGTTAGCTTTTATTGACATGCATTGATTGCCAAACTTCATTAAATGGCCAAACCTGACCTCATGTGTGTCTCTTGTTTAAAATTGCGTTTTGGAACATAGGTTAATTTGTTTTTAGCAATTACATATGGCTTGTTTAATGAGAAACCTGATTGGCTGTTGGGTGTCAGAAGTAAAAGTAAGGTGTTAAATAATAATTACATCAACATTGTTTTGGATAATTACTTTGATTCCAAAATGACTTGACATTGGTTTCTGGTGCGATGATCTCTGTCAACACGCTGAAAAATAGATGAGGGCCTTGCATACGACACAAGGTTCAATCATGGCTAAACTAGCTACCAGTGTCACTCTGCAGTCGTCGAACCTGGTTTAATATAAGCAGTAGTGAGGGTATCAAAATATGTTAGCATCGAGGAACCATGTCTGTTCGTGTTTCAATCAATACCAGTGTACGCCAGTTGTTTGAATCTGAAATTTGTTGAATTTTTGAAATTCCCGTGTAAAATCAGATATCTGCTATTAAAAAAAAAGACGTGGAACTCGGGACCATGTGGATCATTTTACTGTGTTTATCCTTTTGTTTCATTCATTGTCTTAATGGGATTTTGAAGGGTTGTCTGGATTAAACTTTTATTCTGCAACGAAGGCGAACATTATAAAAATTTGGTTAAGTAAATCCTTTGAAAATTTAAAACGAATATGTGACCTGCCAAGGTAAAGATAAAGGTTTAAAAGGTTAAAACTGAACTTTGACTTGTAAAATGAAATGTTATAATAGTCCCCATTCACATAATTATATTACACAAAAAATCATCTGGATTCAGATCATTGTGTGGTTTACATTAAAATAATGTATCCCCCCACCAATATTTATTTAAATCTGAATTTACTACTTGCCACGTAGTTAATCTTCCATGTATAAGATGAAATATTGAGGCTACCGAGTTGTTTTTAGGTTTGCACCCCTTAAACAATGTAGGCATGTACTTAATAGGTTGAAAGGAGAACAATGCGCGAAATAGTGTTGGCTTAGGTTTCGTTCCAGAAAGAATTCCGATATACAGGTCCGTTCGCAGGATTTTCGATGGGGGGGGGGGGGGGGTGGGGGTATTCAAATTTAAATGTTAATTGCCTCGACTTCATCCGGTATAAAATTGTAAGCGGGGTGGGAGTGGGTCTAGATGTTAATTGTTATTGGTGGTGCTTTCACCCGCATTTATATGCATGTCCAAACGGAACGCAATAGCCTTTATATGTAAGTCCAAACAAAACGCATGCACTACACACGGATGAAGCAACGTTTTCTCTTTATAGATTTTCAGGCGCGGATCCGGGGGGGGGTAACCCCCCCCCCCTCTCTGACACCAAAAAATGGTAACAATTTTGGTAACACAAACGAAAAGAAGGCATCCTGCAGGGGTTATAATCTGTATATTTTAGGCCAAAAAAAAAGAGATAATCTGGTTCTGGCCGGCGCGCGCGTCGATTTTGGCCATGCGCGTCAATCCTTTTTCCCCCAAAAAATTTGAAGAAAAAGAATTCAATTGTAGCTACAACAGCGCCCTCTATTGCTGAACTGCATCAACATTGACATTTCTTTTGTTTGTTGCACACATTTTTGTATGGGGTGCCATAAGGACGTAAATGTAAGTTGTAGTTGGCAACAGACTCACCTCGTCTGTACAATTATCCTTTGAAGAAAAAAAAACCAAGAAAAAAAAGCCGCGTTGCCGCATCATCAATTCGGGAACTTTGGCCTAACCAGAGACAGAGTACTTTTTTTCGGGGGCCATATGAGCGTTACGAATAGCGTCACCTATGATTGTATGATGACCAGCGCCCCCTACAAGCATATAGCATCCAGCCATCCCCCCCCCCCCTCCCCCTGCTAAGCGAGGTTTGAAAGGCCAGGTGTCCTGAAGAAAAAAAACGAGTCCACCTTTCCAGAAGAAAATAATATCCGTTGACCCCCCCCCCCCCTTGAAAAAAATCCCGGATCCGCCCCTGATTTTATAACAACAGCATTGAGCCATGTTTTTGGTCAGTGTCCACCCTCAAGAAAGTGTCCCTCTCGGATTTAGTTTTTAAAAGTCAGACTTATGTTTGGCACACCATAAAGTAACTCTAGTCTGGTCAAAAGTAGTCGAGTATGGTATGAAAATAAAGGACACGATGTTAACTTTCCAATTACCTCGCCATCTTGGGCAGCCACTGCTATATTCGGGTACTTTTTGGTGTATATCTTTAGACCCGAACGAAATCCCAAAAAATTTCGCATCGCCTTGCTAAAGATTTAAGCGTGACCATGGACCAAGGAACTGCGGTTAAATACGTGCCCGACACGGCCACTGACGGAAAGCGCTTTGTTCATGCCGACAGATCCACCTAAGCCCTGCCCCCTCCACAATTCTGAGATATTATTGGTCACAGTAAAACATAACCTGTCAATCATTATGCCCCTGGAGCTGCCGCACCTGGGGACAAACAACACAGCTGGCCTGGCCCAAAGCCAGACTCCTACACTAACATGAGGTTGGCTGGCCTCGGGTATCCTCTGACGGGTTTTTTTTGTTTCAAGCTAAAGTTCCAACAACAAAAAATCTTTCTATATAGAGAGGGGGGGGGGGGTTGAAGATCGCATGAGGGAAATATTGCCGGGTGGTTTTAGATGGTCGAAAGAATGCATGGAAGTAAAATAGCATCTACAAAGAAATCCCCCCCCCCCACACACAAAAAATACACATAATAATTTTGGGGGGAAATTTCTTAGGGGAAAATGCAAACTTGCAAAGAAAAATGATAAAGGTCTGCTCAGCTAATCCACCAAAAGTCAACCCACCATTTCCTTTCACAATATTACAAGACTGAACGGTCAATAATTGACTTCAGGGTCATGCATTTTTAGATAAATCTTGCCTCTTCTTTAATTAACTTGCATTTTTTTCAACTCGCAGTTAAAACTTAATTATGACAGAAAAGTTTTGTGTTTATTCAGATTACAAGTACACATGAACATAAATTGCATATTTTAAAGTTATCAACCTAACCATTGCTCTAACAACCTAAAAACCTGGCAATGAAAGTGTGATTCTAAGGGGCCTGTTTCGTCAAAATATGCAAAAGATCTGCTTTTCAGGATCTCACTTCTTTTTAGATACTTGAGGTTGTCAATAATTCCACAAATTTATAAATACTAGGATATAGCTTTCCCTGTATAAAATATCTGCAAGACTAATTCTCAAAATTCAGCTCTCCCTTTTAGAAATCTGCAAATTTTCTAAAAAGTGTGGCTTGATTAAAGTTTAGCGTAACAAGATTTGTCAATAATACAGAGAAATTGGCTCGGCTCGAGGTCATTTCAGATTACTGTGGCATTATGTTATTATTACACATAAAACAAGAGGCAAAGTTTATAGAACATGTCAAGAGGAATTATAAAGATAAGCCTCTTGTAAAAACTCTTTTCTTAAAACGCTAAGTATATACGGTTTAAACATGTCTTTAAAGTTAAACAAAATTGCATGTCAGAAACAGATGCACGTCAACACGAAAACGTTTAAATACTTCTTACTTCCAAAGAAGAACACTCCAAGTTATATGTTGTAGAACTCGTTTTAAGTCTTGAAAAAGTTTTTCAAGCAATAAGTTGTTACACTTGTGTCACAAAATCAAAAGGATTTTTAATGTCATTCTAACAATACTTGGTCTAAAATGTGAGCAGAACAGAATGTTCTATCCACACCTCCCAAAAGAGTGTTGAGCCCCTCCTGTCAACCAAACAAAATCTAACCTTATTGGCCCACAACTAATCCTAGTTTTAGCGATAACACCACTTTTATAACATATACACAAAGAAAACAAAATAGCCACAACCACGTCTGTGGTAACAAATCCTTCTCTTTTGACAATAAACTATTTCTGTAGCAACATCCATTGGCACACAACTCTGTTTTTCTGCCCTAAACTTTTACCCTGAAAACACAGTATAGCAACGATCTTCAAGTTTAAGGCTCAAAGCAATAACAAATAAGGGTTTGTCGATGTCTTCGGCAATATGTTTATACTCACTTCAAGTCTATTCCAGCCAAGTTGTATATTCCTCGTACAGGGGGCATCTCTGAATACATCCCCATTGGATCATATTCATCTGGGACTGCCCTACACAGAATACATGACTGCATGTTGTCACATTTCTTTATACATTCATAACAACCTGCCACATTCAAACAACACTTTGTAGTGAGAACTGGGTGCTTGCTTGTTTCAAAGCAAATTTTGCATTTGAAAATGGCTGCGATGTCATCTGTACTTTTAGACTTGGACAAGTCCTTGACTAGTTCTTCTATTTTCGTCACACCTTTGTATAGTGACTGAAGTGTTACTGGCGGCGATCCCTCACGAAAACGAACCGATTCATTTTCCGACGAGGAAGATGTGGATGTAGGAAGATTTAACCCCTTCCGTTTGCTTTTGAACCAGTCTGAGGTGCGCACAGCCTTAATCTTCCGATTTGTTCCCCAGTAAGTGCGGCCTGGAGAAGAAAACATATAAATACCATGAAATTTTTGAAAGTTGTATTTATAGTGTTCATAAGGGAATAAATGTGTGCTTGGCTGGTCTTAAACAAGTACATTTAAGATCGGCTGGGCTTTGGAAGATAATGACCTGAGCCAAAGGCAAGGGTCATTATCAGCTTACAAAGCCCATCCGGTCTTAAACAGACTTGTTTAAGGCCGGCCAGGTACACTTGTATTCCCATTCATCATTACCTTTGAGCATGCTTTGAGTCAGAAAGTCTAAACAATTAAAAGAAATTATAAATTTCTAACGACTTTTCCAATTTCCAACAATCTCGAGTGATGTGACGCACAGCGAGTCGGCTCTATTATTAACTGTTTAAGACCCGCACGTGACGGGCTCTTGACCAATAGGAATGGCTGAACTGTCTTAGGTATTTATAAATAGCTATTAAACATATATATGATCTGAATTTGTGGAATTGGCACATTGAAGTTATCCTCAAGATGGACTGTAAAGTTTGGTGCCATTTTGCCCCTCTATCAAAAATAAACACATTCGATATAAATAACCACATGGAAAATCAATTTATTCCCAGTGAAACGAGTAAATGAATTTAATTTTGAATTAATTAATTTCCGAAAGAGTACAGAGTTTTTCCAGTGCAAAAGTCAGTGGGGTTGGGACCTTGGCTGGGTGGAATGCAACCAGGGTCAACGTGTTTCAGAGATACATTGTATTAAGGGAGTGGTTACTTGCAGTGGGGTCATGCCAAACATTTTACATTTTTAATCCCAAAAAGGAAATTTAAGAGAGCGAGTTCGCGAAATTTTCAATTATCATATTTTTCTAAATCGGGTTTTTGCTTAGGGCATATCCACCTTTAGCCCCCCTTGGATCTGTAAGTGGTTGACTGTTCAATTTTTTTCTTCAGGGTTCATCACAAAAGGAACCCCCAAAAAACTTTAAAAATAAGCAAGGATTTTTCCCTTGGGGGGGGGGAAGGGACCGTAACCGCAGGCAATCATACTTGAGATACTGATAAAGGTTGTATTACATTGGTACTACTGCTACTGGGTACTACTATTAATTTTCATGCACACTCGAGCATGGCATCATGGTGAGAATAATTATTGAAAGCATTTTGTCTGTTTGAAAAATAATTTTCTCACCTTTAGTGGCAGTCGTATTTTCGATCTCCAGCCCTTTGGAGTCAAGTAGAGTTACTGATCCCTCACTTTTGCATGCTTTGAAATAATCAGATTCTTGGATGAGCAGCCTTTTTATATCCCTTGTAGTTGTGTCATTACAGAGCGACAGGGTAGTTGACTTGATCTCAAGTAAGGCTCCATCAGAAAACTCACAGATAACAAAGTTCTTGGTGAAGGAGCTCTCAGACTTCTCCTTGTGTACTCCCGAAGCCGTGCCTAAAGTTGTAAAGGAGAAACGGAGAAGAAAAAAAAAGTACAATAAATGTCTACAGTGACAGTACGAGGACGAGTGCAAGTTTTACTCAACTTTTGGGGGGGGGGGGGGTTACTGGAAACCACCTTCAAAACTTGGGGGTGCTGTGAAAGGTGGATATATTTATGTGCTACAAAGTAACGTTGAGGATAATTTCTTTTTCATACTGTACAATTTGGTAAGGATTAGTGCACCTAACAATCTTCATTCAAAAAAAAACATTTTAGCATTTTTTTCTCATCAGAATTTTTTCAGCAATATTGTTTTTTTTTTCTATTTTTTTTTTTTGGGGGGGGGGGGCATTTTCAACCACCAAACCCTCCCCTTCCTCCACTCTCCCGAAGCACAATCACTGGTAAAACCCTTCATAGGGAAAAGCTGTGGTTATTACGATTCCAATTGTCGTTTTCTTTATAAAATAAAAAATCGAACATCTTTCACATACAAAAAAAACACACCAATGGATACTGTATTTAGGCCTACCTGATGAAAATTTTCCCTGTGCCACGTGTGCTGACTTCTTTTGATTGCGGTACCTCTTGGACGGGCCTGGCAAGAAGTCTTCTGCCCCACCACTACCTCCGCCTGTACTAAAAGCGAATGGATTGAACTTTGGCGCTTGGTTGGGCAACGCGTCCCCAGTTATCTTCCATGTCAAGAAGCTACTCAAATCAAAAGTTCCACTGGAACATGGGACGACAACAGAGTCGTCAGAGCCATACAGAATTATGGAGTCTGGTACAAGTTTAAAAATCCGTCCCAGTGTTGTACAAGACATCTGTACCTTTTTAAGTTTGAGGAGTCGGTCGTCGTCTGGTCCTTTAACAAGGAAGGTGCCAGTGTCCTGAAAATCTCCCCCGTCACTATCGTATGTCACGTCCATCTTGCTTTGACGAAGAAATAAAAATTAATGTGTATACGGCTAGTGATCTGCCATATAAGTGGTCACGCTAGTTTTACCCAAAAAAACTTTCTCACGCTTCAAATAGGTGACTGACACCCATGGAACTCAGTGACTGAGAGTCGGCTCCCACAAAGCAGCCAAAGAGAAGTGAAATTCCGTTTGATTCGGGCCGACCTCTTTATCACTACACGTTACGTAGTATACGTCTTTTGCTTCTCTTACACCAGTGCCAAGCTACAAATTTCACAAGTTTATAAATATCCATTCGCAACACGGGTAAAAAGCTTGGTTTAGGACGGAATTAAATCCCCAAAAATATCCAGGAAGTCGGGGATGACAGAAAAGAGATCCTACAATTTTCCCTGCAGAAAAAGAATCGGCGAATCTTCGAAATGAAGAAATGAATTTGAATTATTAAACAATGAACATTTAATAAATAAATAATGCAGCAATTTTATATACATATTACATATTACATTTACAACGTCGATTATAACTTTGGATGATTGCCCATTATAAAAAATATTGTTTTCAGCCAAGTTCAGAAGCAGGGATAACAGCGGGATCCGGGTTTTGTAACTTGAAAACTGGTGTGTTTGATTGCAAATCGGTTTACTGGTCCAAAGGCTTATTCCAGACGCTGCCATTAATATTTTGTAACTTATTTTAAAGTAATTTCGTACCTTAGCGATAAAATCAGTGAATTTCGAGACAACACTGGGTACCAAAGAAAATATTCAAATTCAAAAAAACAAAAACTAAAGAAAATTTAAACAAAGATCTCCGCCAGGAAAACATTAATCCGTGAAGTTTGAAGTAACTAATTAATTTTCTTTATTTAAAAATAGATTAATAAATAATGCAGCGAGTTTTATTTGTGTTGTGACGTTCAATTATAACTTTGGACGATCGCCCATTATATTTTGTTTTCAGCCAAGTTCAGAAGCAGGGATAAAAATGAGCGAACCGAGACGATGCAATAAAACAGAAAAATCCTAAAATTGAAATAAACGAAAACATAGAGCATTGCAAACCCGGATCCCCGCAAACACCCCCCCCCCCCCGCCCATCTCCTCACTAGAGCCAAGCAACCCCTCCAGAAATTACAGACAAGTCCCGCACTCAAATTAAACTGTTAGGCCGGATATATAGGGCAAGTATACGCGCGCACGTGTTCATGCTTTTTTTTAATAGAACTGTCAGCGGATTGATGAGTTAGCACAATGTTGACGTAATTGAAAAAGGCGGAGTTACTTGGAACCGTCCATTTTTTGGTAGGTACTGATAGCAGCAGCTAACGTTTAATGAGCTCTGTTGGACAGCAGAAAAGGAGAAAAGTGGATTTGTCCAAACTCATGTTCAATCTGCTTTTCTGCTGGCAGAAAAGACGATTGGCCACTTTTAGACCACCGTGGCAAAAACGTTCGATCTGCTTTCTTAGAAAGCAGAAAAGCAGAAAATTGCAATCGTCCAAAACGTTCAATCTGCTTTTCTGCTAGCAGGAAAGACGATAGCCCGTTTTTAGACCAGTGTGACAAAAATGTTCGATTTGCTTTCTTGGGAAGGAGAAAAGTAGAAAATACGATTTGTTCAAAACGTTCAATCTGCTTTTCTGCTGTTTTAAAAGCAGAAAAGCAGATGGCCTCTTTTGAACCGCAACTGTAGGGTAAAAAGTAAAATCTGCTTTTCTGGTAGCAGGAAAGTAGAAAAGTAGACAAATGCATTTTGGCAAAACGTTCGATCTGCTTTTCTGCTAGCAGAAAAGCAGAAAAGCAGAAAAATGCATTTTAGAAAAACGTTCGATCTGCTTTTCTGCTGTTTTGAAAGCAGAAAAGCAGATGGGCACTTTTGAACCTCCATAGGAGTTAATCCAGGCCGATCGGTTCCATGCAAGGTCCAAATCCCTTCAACATACTGGGCGGGCTCAACCCCGAACGGTCCGGGGATGGATTCTAATTTGAGGGCTCGCCTAATACGGCGGTGGTTTGACCGAGCCGTCAGTTGCGACAGGGAGTTTAGCGGAGCAGACTCCAATGCGGCAGTGGTTTGACCGAGCCGCTGGGTGACAGTTGGGTAGGCCTACGACGCGGAACACGGCAGTGGTTTGACCGAGCTGTGGTGCGGTAGTAAGGGAGGTCTACGAAGCAGAACACGGCAGCGGCTTGACCGAGTCGTGCAATCGAGCCAGTAAAGTTAACGTACATCGCACGGCAGCGGTTTGACCGAGCCGTTTCCTGCACCACGCAAAATCCGGGAGCTCCGGATCAGAAGGCCGCCAAGGAACTCCGGATCAGAGAAACCACTCCGACACCACCGGATCAGAGAGCCGCTCCGGGAACTCCGGATCAGAAAAGCCGCTCCAGGAACTCCGGATCAGAAAAGCCGCTCCGGGAGCTCCGGATCAGAAGGGCGCTCCGGAAACTCCGGATCAGAGAAACCGCTCAGGGAATTCTGGATCAGCAAAGGCGCTCCGGGAGTTTCATATCAGAAAAACCGCTCCGGAAGTAGAAAACAATTAAAAATACCCTACCAATCAGAAATATTAGGTTCTGAGATTAAATACAAGAAGGAAATGGACAGAGCAAAGGCAATGCCAGGTCGGGCTATGGACTACTCGTCCATGAATGGGCCGGATCTGTACTGTTTTTTGGAAGGGGAGTACCAACGGGTTTCTCAGGAAATAGAAATACTCTCTCAATGACTGGGTCGGTTCCTAGGAGGCAAGTTGCTCCCAAATGTAACCACCGGAGAGGATGCAACTTCGCTCGGTATCTCAGGCTAATATCAGGGATTCTAGGCTGAGAAAGGATTACACCATATGGGGAGATTCGGGAATACATGTAGATCTTCCAGGAAACCAGTTGCAATCTAACCGGGCGGAGGCAATGATGTTGTAACCGTGCACTTCTTCGAGACAAATCACGGGCACAGCAAAGGAGACTCGATGCATAGTACCATAGAAAGGGATATCAGCCAAGTCAACGAACTAATGGTACCATCCCAACTACTGACCATATTCCAAATGGCGAGGAAAGACCCTCGGTCCTACAATGTCATTCCAATAAAATCATCTGGAAAGGTTTCAGTCAAAAACGGGGTATCCTAAGGGTGCGCATCTCTAAAGACATGAAGGCTGTTGACAGGACCAAGTTCATACAAATTCAAGTAAAAAAACATGAACCGAATCAAATTGGTTTCAAGTATTTCCACAAGGATCCATCTTTTTCAGTTGTTAAGCTTGGTACCACTAGGAGAAGCTCTGAGGCTGATACACTTTCTTGCCAACCTCTGTATGCGTTGTCGAGACCGAAACTGGCAATTGGGAAGTACAACGACCTGCAAGCCCTGTGTCGTGGTGATACCCCCGTCATATCCCACCCTGACTACCAAGCCTTTTATCTACAGCTCCCACACTAACCACATTTAGCTCCCACACTATCGAAATGTGTCAAACCCCCTTTCATTCTTCACCCACTGTTACCATCGCCAATGCTCCAATTTCTAGGGTTCATTCCACCAATTTTTAAGGAGTTTCTGTGGATGAGAAACTTAGCTGGAGACACCACAACAAACTTTTCAACTTTCATCAACTGTAAGATTTTACAACATGCACATTAGCTGGTGGCTATAAGTAACCCAAATTGATTCCTAATAAAAAGCAGAACTAGACCATATACAGGGTGTGTCTCTGTTCCTCACATTATCTGGGATGAGCCACACTTTAGATAATGAATATAATAGAGGGGTGATAACAAGTAAACCGTTGTAGAAAAAAAACCTAATGAATAACAATGAGGTCGAGCTGATATACGTAGAGTATAGTAGAAAATAGTAAAGGATAAATAGTTGAGGATTGGAATGTGATTATACCCCCCCGAGTCCCAAACAACATAATTTTTCCACAGTGGTCCTAGAGTGAAACAAATTTATCACATAAATAAAACTGCATGATGTACATCAACAAAAAACGGAGATCATATCTGGACATTATAAGGAGCCAAACTCGTCAAACTTGGGAACATTAAATACAAGTACTTAAAGCTTCGCATGGCGGATGAGATAAATACAGGAAATTTTAGGGTCATACCATGTGGAAAGAAATCTCCTTTTGGAAGAAGTGTGGTTCTGAAAAGAACCGCTTGGTTGAGTGTATAACTCTCAAATATAAGTTATTCAAAACTCTGCGGCAAAAATTTTCTTCGCACCATTAAGTAAAAATAATACTAACAGAAAATTATTGACTATAAGGCAGTGTTGTAGGTCTACAACACTGCCTTATAGTCCACTTTTTGCTGGTCTCGGTCTCGGAAGCTGTGGTCTCGGTCTTGGTCTCGGTCCCCTTTGGTCTCGATATTTTGGCTGGTCTCGGGTCGAGACCGGCAATATGTAGCTTTTACAGCTCGATCGATTACTTTGTGTTCACTTCGTTCAGTACCGTTGTTAGTTAAAACATTTGCTAGCCCGTAGATCAAGCTTGTTATATATCGTGGTCGGTTTGCCGGACTCGACTGCACGTTGGAAAGTCCCCAAAGTACATTTAAAGCTGCGGCAGTACCAGTCACTGAACGATTTGGAGCAAGTTCGGCCTTTATCTATTGAGTCGGGCACATAAAGCAAAGTATGAACTTGAATCAATTTATGCAATAAGGGTCAATCATTTTCAAAGACTGTGTAGTTTGTAAGACTGTGTAAGACTGTATTCACTTGCATTTTGTATTCTGATAATAAATGAGGTGCTTCAAATTAGTTATATTTTAGACCCCGCACAATGTTCTCTTTAATTTGGGACAGTATTTTGAAGAAAAAGTAAATTTTTCTACCTGATTTTTCAGCATTGAACTCACACACTCTTACCAGTTACCACTCACTGTTACCATGAGAGAGTATGAAGAGACCCCATTTTCCGGCTGCTCATTTTGAAGTACCCATTATTCCTCAACAATTAAAATCTCGTTCAGAAAAAAAATAAAAATCCATATCTGGCACATTCTGGCTACCACTCCGCAACTTGTGGGTCTACATGTACAAGTCCACATTCTATGACAGAAATTTGAAAATTAATTCAACATTTTCTACCTCCCATT